CGGACGCTTAACCGACTGCGCCACCCAGGCGCCCCTAGACTGTAAACTTCTAAGACGTGTTAATAGCCTTCATTTTCTACAAGGGCTGAAGTTGTAACAGTCTCCACCACAGATAGTTTCTTTACATGCAACTGAAGATTTAAGGGGAAACTCTCGACAGATCCTAGAAGTCTCTCTCTCTCTGTTCTCTTCTTTATTTCCTCAGAAATAAAATAAAAGCAATTATTTGTTGTCTACTGTATTAGTGAAACAGGAACAATAGTTTAGACATAAAAACTAACCCTGAGCTCTTACTCCACACTGGAGTTTCATTTTTACAGAAAACCTTAAAGGATAAAAATTTTATATAAACTAAGTAAAAAAGACTTGCTCTGATCTTTGACCATTTATTATAAGACTCTGTGTGTAAAGAGGTCTGTAAGGTGTCATGAGGATAAAAATGGAAATGGAAGTCAAAGTCCCTACTCTCAAGGAACTTAAATTTTACTGGATATTACCACACACAAATATGGCAGCTATTCAAAAGCAACATGTTATCAAGTTGTATATACATTCCCATCTTTTTTTTTTTTTTTTTTTTTTTTTTGCTGGTTAAACATTTATTTTGAAAATTCATTTGGTGATAGATGATAAACAGAAAATGAGCCAGTATCTTCTACTTTTTATCATTTCTTTAAGCTATGAAAAACCACAATAAGACACAATGTCATACATACGGACAGAGTAATACAAACCAATGCTTAAAGAAGAGCTGGGGATGTTATTATTCTCTGAGTAGGTGTGATTCACCAGGACTTGGTCAAGGGCTTCAAGTTAGTACTATGAGCACCTCCTATGTGCAGAGATTCACTTCAGAGCCATGAATCTGAGCTTCTAACACCAGATTTCCGGAAGAGCCACCCACACAGCGGCCAATCAGGATTTCTATGCCAGTGGCCTGTGTGTCTCCTGGTTTATTTCAGGGGCCAGGAGCACTCCTAGCCTGAGGCTTGGTTCTTCCCCTCTGAGAAGTCATTTGCTCTGATGCAGATGCCATGCCAAGGGACAGTGACTCGTTCAACGCTCACCACTGGGTTGGCAGCATTTCAGAGCTGAAGCTTTCATCAGGGGGCTCTGGGCTTTGAAAGGAAGGACAACATTCTATTGTTCTTTAGGTACATTCCCATCTACTGAAAAGAAAACCAAAAGCTGTCTCAGTCTGTATGTGCTCATCATGCATGTGTGCATGCTTATTTAGAAAGGGTGTGAAAACAGAATATACTGTTGGAGGTAGATGAGGGAGCAGATGGGCTAATGTAAGTGAGCCAAGAGATTGGTATTTTATATAATTCAACGTAAAGACTTCTACTTCTATCCAGGACACTAATAGAGACTAAATTTATTCTTTGACCTGAACATCTGAAAAAATTAGATACAATATATAAAACAATGGTTTTTAAACGTGGGACCAAAGGCAGTACAGGGCAATATTCCCTGAGAGAAAAGAAACACACGAGGTGAACCCTTCTGTTGCCCCAATACTGTCTGGAGAGAGCCTTCGTGTCTCAGTGAATTGAGAACACAAAGCTCAGAGATGGAGAGGCCAAGCCAGCTAGAATTCGCAAGACAGGGTATAGGAGAGAAAAGAACTGCAGAGAAAGAGAGACTTCTAGGATCTGTAGGGAGTTTCTCCTGAACTCTTCAGTTCCATGTAAGGAAACTATCTATGGATGGGAAAAGAACCACTGAAAATGAGTCCTTTTCAGGGTTGGGAACAGCACATGTTACCAACAGACAGTGTGAAGAAAACTCATTTATACATGGGACTTTGGGTTGAGTACTTGGAACACTATTGTCTCTGTAGTAGAAAAAAAATCTGAACTAAAAGCTGCTCAGGTCCTGCCTAACAAAGCTAAAATGTAAACCTTAAAAAGACCAAACAATTCCCAAGTAACCTAACTGCATACCAGAATAAAGCTAAAAATATTTGAGTAATAAAAAACACTAGCACCAAACAATGTAAAAGTTCACAATGTCTGGCAACCAATCAAAAATTACCAGGCATGTAAATATTTTACATAATACCCATCAACACAAAAAGACCCACATGGGAGCACCTAGGTGGCACAGTTAAGGGTCCAACTTTTGATTTTGATCTCACAGTTTGTGGGATCAAGTCCACGTCAGACTCTGAGCTGACAGCGTGAAGCCTGCTTGGGGTTCTCCCTCCCTCTCCCTTGCATCCTCCCTGCTTGCTCCCGCTCTCCCCTCTCTCTCAAAATAAATAAACTTAAAAAAGAAAAAGACCCACATGTGACACATTAGTAGACAGAATTAGCAGATAAGGGCATTAAAAGAGTTATTATATACTCCATATGTTTTACAGGTGGAAAAAGCATGAGAATGTTCAGGAGAGACTTGAAAGAAATTTTTAAAAGCCCAAAACTGAAAATTTTGAGGTAAAAATACAACACAGAAGATAGAAATACACTGGACAGGATTAATAGATTAGATGTTACAGAACAGATTAGTGAACTTGAAGGTAAAACAATAGAATTTTCCTAACTAGAACAAGGAGATTAAAAAAAAAAAAAAATGTGTAGAGCACCAGTGAATTGTGAGACATCTGCAAGAGTCATAATATTCATGTAGTTAGAATTAGAGAAGCAACATATTTGAGAAAAAATGGCCCACAATTTTCCAAATTTGATGCAAATTATAACCAACAGATCCAAGAAGCTCGAAAAAGCCCAAGCAGAAGAAACACGAAGACAACTACACAAAGGGACATCATAATCAAACTGCCTAAAACAGATGATAAAAAGAAAATCTTAAAAGCAGCTAAGGAATAAAAAGCCACATTACCTATTGAGGAACAAAGGAATTCTCACCAGAAACAACGCATACCAGAAAACAATGGAGGGAAAAACTACATCAACCTAGGTTTCTATATTTAATGAAATTATCTTTCAAAAATGAAGCAAAAAAGAAAGTCTTTTTCAGAAATATAATTCAATAGTGCTAGATGTTTTTATAATAGGAGCATGGATAATTCTTATAATTTCAAAAAATTAACTATATTCCACAAGTATAACAAATATTCTACAAATAAGTACAGATGTGCTCAGAGTAAAAAGTAGCCAAGTTTGGGGTTAAGCAGAAGATAAGTATAAAGACAATACTGTTATATACTCAATGGGTAGAGCCTCACCAAAGATGAAGGTCATGTGATATCAAACAGAAAAGAGGGAAGACGACCTTGAATAACAACGAAAGAGTTTAGATACATATGACAGATTATAGGAAGCCCCTGGAGTTTTCTGACTAGAGAGATAAGAAAAGTGGTAACTGAAGATATATTAGCAAATCACACATATGATAGAGAACAGACAGCATCATATAATTGAAATTAAACTCAGGAAAGTTTCACTAAAAAAAATTGTGCTTAGAATTTCAATTCTAGGTGATAAGAAATCTACCCTCCTTGAGCACAAGGATTCGCCCAGTTATAAGATCTTTGTGGTGGATCACAAACCAGACGTACTTCTGCCTACTCCCCATCCCTTATCATCTGCTCTGGACCATTTCTGCATTATCACAGTCTACTAACTGAAACAACAATTTCATAATTACCACAGAAATTAAGAAAATTCTTCAGGTAGGAAAAAAAAATAGAAGTTTCCTAAGACAAAATTTCGGGAGGTAATCTTGAAATGAACTTTCAAATCTATATCCTACACTATAATGTACTTTTGCCTTTAGCTTTTGTCTTTTGTCCCCCCTGGCCTACAGAAAAGAAATCTGGGAACAAAATTAGGCTCTCCATCATTCTTTGGATTAATAAGAAAATCTTAAGAAATTACAAGTTCATTTTTAGGATTTCTTTTTTTTTTTTTTTTTTTGTAAGTTACCACTACTTACTCAAAGTCATTCATGTAGGCTCTACGCCCAAATTCACTCATTCATGTAGATTCTACGCCCAACGTGGGGTTTGAATTCATGATCCTGAGACCAAGAGTCACATGCTCTACCACTGAGCCAGCCAGGCAGTCCTCCTTTTTAGAACTTCTTCATAAAGTATCTAAACAATTGAGTTAAAAATGTAGTGAAAAACATCAGGAAAGTACTTACCCTTAAAATAATTAAAAAGGACCTGGAACCACTAAGAATTTCCTAACCACAGTTAGAAGAGTAAAGAAAGCTAAAAACCAACACAAGGTAAAATAACCAGAAGAAAGCAAAGGCCAAATGATAACCAATGTTAACATCACACAGGAGAGCTTCCTTGATTTTTGGTAAAGGCCCATTTTCAAAATAAAACCTTGATAATCATTTTACCTTATCCTGCTCCACGCCAGGCTCTCTGTACACCGTCCATCTCTGTCCATCATCGCTGTATAGAATTCTGTAGGCTGACACATAGTAATTGTGTTCCACCATGGTAGAGCCAGTGGTTACGATGCCTAAGGAACGCAGAGTGGCTTTCATTAGTGTGCACGGTCTGATCCTTGTTCAGCATTGAAGCCCAAATACCTAAAGTGCACTGTCCAGACATTTTTGCCAGTAGCACATTACCGTCTCTAAGGCCAGGTTTCATTATAATAGTAAATAAATCTTTGGCTCTGTTCCCTTGTAGAGACACATGAATTATGGGTGTACATAAGGAAAGGACTACTCTGTTTTGACAGCCTGTGTTCACATCACTGTAAAATATATCTTACCTACCAAGTAACAACGACCCCCTGGGAAGGAACAGATTAAAACGATTATTTTTTTCAGAACCAAATTGACATAAATCTTTAACAAAAATTACTTAACCCAATTCTAATCAATTATTCTAACCATCTGATGAACTGCTCCAAATAAATTTGTATTCAGCACATGAAGAGTATTATTTATAGCACTTAAAATGAACTCCTTGAACATAAATTTCTTTTAACGACTATAAGAGATGTCAAGATCACTTAACTGAAACAGTACCTTAAAAGAATCTTATTACAATGAAAAAGCAAAGTTAATAAAAATCAAATACCAACCCCTCACTTCTGCCATGTTTCATAAAACCACCTACAGTAATATTTAACACCATACAATTACATTTGCAGTGACCTAATTTTCTATGAAAATCTTCGATGTTATCAGGTTTCTGAATAAAATCAGAACCAGGAATCATTCTAGAAAAGTATGTCTCCCAACCTGTTATCTTCTTTTCTTTATTCAGATCTATTTGTAACCACTGATACTCATCAGCGGCAAAAGCAGCCCAAGGAGGTCCGGGTTGCTTCAGCCTGGCTTTCTCGGGTTTCCAGCTGTTCTCCCGCCCTGTGTGGTCAGTCCACTCCAGCACAGACGATGCTGTTATCTGCGCATCGGCAATCACCCCGGATTCCATCCCCAGTGTGCCGTAACAGCCTGAAACGACAGAGACAGTAATGTGGTTTCCAGAAATAAATTCAAAATCTGTATAAATGTGCTCATTGGAAACTTTCTATTGTACATGTAATTAATATATACTATGCTAATAACACACTGTAATACAGAAATTTCAAAAGTAGGCGATGTTCTTGGTTCTATGTCTTTTGTGTCTTGTCAGGAAATGGACAGACATATTTATTCACAAGCAATAGCCATTAGTTTAGCAGCAATGCATTATCCTCTTCCTGGGACACTGTCTTCAGACCAGTGGATGACTCACTCCCCACTGCCTTCAGGTGTTTGCTCAGGTGTCACTTTCTCCACGAGGCCTTCCCTGACTCCACTTAAAACTCCAGACCAGTCCCTCCTGCACTGCCTATCCTCTTTTCTTGACTTACTTTTCTACATTTTCTATAATATTATAAAGAGTTATTTATAATTTATTTATAATTTATTATTTATTTATAATTTATCCACTGTTTCCTGTCAATCTCTCAATACCAGTATTTAAGCACCAGGAAAGGAGGATTTTGTCTATTCTGCTCACTTTTGTTTCACTAGCACCAGAACAGTGCCTGAAAAATCAAAGATGCTCATAAATATATTCTGTTGAATTAATTACTTCTTCAGACATAGTGAAAAAAATCACCTTTCCTAAGGAACTTCCCAATAATATAAAACCTTCAGTTATTCCATCTATTGTATTAGTGTGACATATGAAAAAGTGCAAAACAACAGCAATTAGCATACTGCATGACAGTGTTTAAAAAATATTAACAATTACACAATTATAGTAAGTTACAAAGTCCATGAAAGGCTTACCACTTGTCTTAAATGTAAAAAGACTTGTAGATAAGTGTCCCCTGAAAGAGAGAAAGGTTTTTCTTGGTGACACTCATATATTGACTTCCCCATATTTGTCTTAGTAAAACTTTTTCTTTTGTTTTTATTTTACTATATAAAGAACTAAGGAAATTCTATGGCCATTAAACAACTGATACTGTTCTCAGCCTCCCCCCCCCAAAAAAAAGTCTGATTTCAAAACAACTTCGGAAATCAGAATAACAACTTCTGAACTCAGCATAAACAACTTTCTCTACAAGTATCTAGTGCCTTATCACATATGAAATGTGCAAGTATGCCCATGTAACCTTTAATATGTACTTATTTCATTTATCTTTCATGGAAATGAACGGATTCCTCAAACTTTTATGTGTCATTTGCTTTTGTTGCAAGTACATTACATTGTAACTCTCAGAGAATGAGGCTCAAGTTTCCTGGGGTAAACAGAAAAAAAGCTGGCTACAAATAAGAGAGCTTGCACTTGTTACAGGAATAAGCACAGCTCAGAGCAAGTTAAAGCTGCAACCCAGCACCGCATCTGGATTTCAAAGTAACAGGCAAGTTAAGTGCAGTGGGAAGAATGGAGGAGGAGGGGAACACACGACTAGTTTACCAAGGACTCTAAAGAACCTGGGGGGATAAAATCATCAGTGTATGCTCCTGACTTCAGCACAACATTCAAACCATTATTCCAAATGGATGTGACCCACCCTTATTTTTTTCTTAAGGTATGAAAGGAAGAGAACTGATGAAAAAAATTCTTTCTAAAGGTAGAAGAGGGGAAAGGAATGAAAGAGTCTGCGTAAAATCATCTAGAAGAAACCAAAAGATGGAAAGGTAGCTATGTCTATACCAGGGATGGGCAAATGATATTTCATACAGGGCCTATTTTGTATGTCCAGGGAGCCAAAAATGGTTTCTGCATGGTTAAGAAGCTTTAAATGAACCGAAAAAGAGTAAGTGACCAGGGACATGTGGCACATAAAGCCCAATATATGTGCGAGCTGGTCCTTTGCAGAAGAAGCCTGCTGGCTCCTGTATTATACCGTCACGGACACAGATTATGCTCTCATCTTCTGAATGAAAACTGCCCTAGGACCTCTGAAGAGAAACTGGCCTGCTTTCCATTAGGCTTAGTATTACCTACAGGACTAAGCCCATCTAAGAGGCAAGATTTACAAAAACAGATCCCAAGTATTACATTTCTATTTAATGTTTCAACTTTTCTTGCTTGTGATGCCTATTCAGTTTCATAAAACTGATCACTGTAGTGACCATAAAAATACATTCTTAAAATATTCTCTTTGGATTAGAGGAGGATTCGTAACACTACTACTTCTGATTTATGTCAAAATTTAATTTATACTCAAAAGTATTTCAGTTATCTCAATCCATCCTAGGTCACACAGGCTGTAAGAAACAGAGCACTTATGCCTCCTGATCTTTAAAATGAAATAAAAACTTGGCCACAGACTTTTAGACCCTTACTCTCGAGACTGTTTAAGCACTCACGAAAGAACAAATCATCCTCCTAAACGACTACCTTTCTGATTGAGAACATGCCAAGGTAGTGAGACCTGGCCTATATTCTTCAGGATATTCAGACAATCAGCACACAAAGATGGGAGTGCTCACCCCACCGTTGTGATTCCATGAACACCATTAACAGTGATGTTGCTCAGGTCTAACTAGTCACTATCCCACCCCTGCCCAACCCGCTTATCGTCAATAACACATATACTTACACCACAGATGTGACGTTGTTAGCCAACGAACTCTCATAATACGGGATACCTTTACTAATTACAACACTGATTTGGCCACCCAAAATGTTTGACACTACTCCTGCGTGCACACCAGCCATGCACAATGGTGAGGACTTGAAGAAAGGAGAAATAAAAGATTAGTATTTAATTTTCTTTGGGTAATTTATAAACAAGACACTCCTTTCCTCAAGAAAGGAGTTGACCCGGGCAGTATTCTCAGTAAATATAGGATTAGTGATGGGATAACAAAGAACAGACTTGTAGCACAAGAATGAAACATTACATAATACAAAAAAAAAATAAATAAATAATAATAATAATCCCTTGAAAATAAATTAAGATTAAAGATATACAATCGGTACACATCAACCTACTCTGGAGTTTAAAAAAAATAAAGTTAAATCACAACGTTAACATAAGTCTATGTTACTGCGACTTACATCTCTGTATCCATGAGGGATTGTTCCAGAGATCTCAGCAAAAGGAAGCAAACAACCAGCTGGGCAGTACTTACTGTGAAATGAAAACAAGTTCAAGGGTATATACAGTGTACTTTCTGGGGGAAAAGAACAAAAACCACATATTCATTTTTCAGCTCATTTAAAAAGTATAATCTCACTGCCCTAAGAGAAGCACCACTTCTAAAAAGCCCTTTTTTTTTTAGTTCATAATGAATGGTAGACATTTTTGCTATATGATCTATTCATATTTAATATGAATTTAATAGCTACAAGCTACTCTATTTTGTGAATGAACCACAATTTATTTTACCAACCTTCTATGGATCAAATTTAAGTTGACTTAAAAATGTTTGGCATTTATTCATTTATTTACTCATTCACCCACCCATCTACCCACTCAACACATTTATCCGAATGTCTATTTTGTTGTCTGTTAAGTGCTGGTCTGTGCTAGGTACTGGGTTTACAAACATCAGCCAAATAAATATGCCCCTGTTTTCACTATGTCTATGCTCCAGAAGTCGGGGGAAGGACGTTAAACTGATACCTAAATGAGTAATTAATTAGATTATGATTTTGCTACGAAGAAAAGGTGCTCCCTGAAATAAGTAGGAGAAAGCAAAGTTAATAGAAGTAAAAAGTAATACAAACATGCAGTAAATTTACTATGTGCCGAGCAGCCTTCTGAGTACCTCAGGTAACCCACACAAGAACCCTAATGGTAGATATCATTATTTTCCTCATTTTACAGATGAAGAAACTGAGAAACAGTGTGCCCAGGTCCCGCAACTGGGAACTGCCAGATGGGCTCCCGGGTCTAAGTTTTTACACCAGGCTCTGCACTGCCTCAGTCAGGAAACAGGGCTCTGAGGAAGTGAAGCCTCATCAAAGGGAGGCCAATGCACCCTCATGGACAGGAACAGCAGGCCATGAAGCAAGGGGGCCTGTGTGTGTGTCATCCATGGAGGACGACCATTGCAGGTAGAGTACAGTGAGCACTGTAAAACTAAAAGGGTAACATTAGTTTGAGAGAAGCTGGAGAGGTAGGCAGGGGCCAGATCATGCAGAAGCCTTGGGAGCTATGGTGAAGAGTCTGGAATATATTTCTAAGTAAAAATGGGAAGTCAGTTAAGGATTTTGACAGCTTATACACACAATCTGATTCATATTTCCAAAAAGGATTATTCTGACTCCTGAGAAGAAAGAGACTGTAAGGAACTACGAGTGGAAGCTGAGACATCGTTAGGCTGGTAGTGCCATAGGCCAGGCAAGAGAGAACGGCAGTTTGCATTTGGGTGGTGATGACGGAGCTGAGAGGAAAGGCTACAAGACCCTCAGGCAGGGCTGGGTGCCACACACTGATGACAGAGCCACCTCTGCTGATCGGGATCCTCCCTGAGTGCTGAATAGAGTACCCATCCCTCACAGAACTATTCTGGAAGACAAAATAAAGGTTGTTCTTTGGGGAGTTCTTTGGGGAGTGGCAGCAAGCTGGGGGGAGGTTAGTGACACAGCTCTTACAAGATGGGAATAAATCTGCCAGGCAGAGAGTAAAGCGATTCTAGGCAAAAGTTCAGACAGCTCAGAGCAGTGTAAAGAATCCAGAGCCGTTTCAATATAAGTACGTAAGATGACATTGGAAAATTGGCCCAAGAGCTACTTGTGAAGGATCCCGAAACCAGGCTAAGGAATTTGGATGACATCTGCCCTAAGAAGGAACTCATGAAGATTTTAAAGTAGGGGAATGATCAGACATGTATTTTAGGATGTAATTTGGCAGCAACGTGAGTGGTGGAATAGAAGCCAGCAAAGGTTAGTCCCAGCTGAGACAAGAGACAAAGAAAGCAGCGAAACAGTAGTAGAAATGCTGCCTGGGCAAGAACACTGAAGAATTCAGTCCCAGCCGAAATCATTCTCTTCTCCTTTTTGAGAAAAGATAAGTAACGCCTCTAGCTTCATTAGCAGTTTTGCCAGGCTTTGAAAAGCAACTAGTTCTACTTTTAAAGTATATTAAATTATACTTTCATTGTAGAGAAAATCCAAATGCTACAATTAAAGCAAAATTTAAACATGGCTACTCAATGGCTTTAAATAAGCTCTAATTTGCTGACATCTTAGAGCAATGATTATGTGTCATGTGTGTGACACATACATTAATGTGCATTATCTTTAGTGTATAAAGAATAATGATGAAGTAGATGAAGAATAACAGTGAAGGGAAAAAAGGTTACAAATATAGTCATACCTGAACTCAGGTTCCAAAAAACTGGATGCAGTGTCTAAACAAGTAATTAGATCTAGAAAAACAAAAACAAAAAACAGATTCAATAATACATACTTTTACTGAACACCAACTGTTTCCAAATCCCAAATCATATTGTTCTAAATTTTAAATCTCAACAGCTGTCAAGGTAGTACTAATAACTTTTTACAAATTTTTGTTGATCATGATTTCCTTGATATAAAGTATCTTGATTTCTAGAGCTCTGTCTCTCCAATACTGTTTGCTACCACATCACCTCATTGAGTCCTGTATCATATATATAGAAGTTACACAGATGAGTGTAATTTACAGACATAAAATGACTTCTACAAAATATAGCTCCTGAAAAAATAAAAACTTTTTCATTATTGTATAGCTTAAAAAACGATCCTTTGCTAGGTACACACAAGGAAAACAGTGACAAAAGAGAGGTGAATTAATTTTGTTGCTCTAAGTAACTAAAATCTAGTCCATGGCCAGGGCCAGCAGCACCAGCATCTTCTGGGAACTTAAACAGCAAGTCAAACTCTTGGATACCTTCCAGACTTACAGAATCTCTGGATGTGGATACTCAAAAATCTGCTTTAACAAATCCTCCAGGGAATTCTTAAGCACACTAAAGCTGAAGAAGCCCTAACCTAAATAAGACGGAACTTCAAAAATTTAACATTTCTATCTAGAAACCAAATCCGAGCAAGAGGTAACTTGTTTCGTTAAGACTTAGCTCACAGACTGGGTAAAACGTGGCTTTAGGTTCAAAGATGTCAATGGCTTCCTTCTGCTCTTAGCACAGAGGGCAGAGCTGTCAACATGGCCCACAGGTCTTGAGGTGCCTCGTCCCGCCTAAGTCTTGTTTTGTACCTGTGCACAGGTTTCTTGCCACATTTGCCCTCTTTGGTTCCTTGGGCACATATTGCTCTCTTGACCGAGAATGATTTTCTACTGTCCTTTAGCCTTGCTGGCTTAACTGCTGCATCCTCACAGAAGCTGTTCCTCACTTTCACAAGTCAAACACCTTTAGCACATGGTAGGCACCTAAGGCTTTTTGTTTGTTTTAATGAATAGGTGACTATTACATGTTGTCAAAGTACTACGTGTTATGTAAGAACAATCCGTTGACGTAATCACGGAGCTATAAGCAACATCATTTTACTATGCCTAGTCTATGGACAGAAAAGGCTTTTAGTCCTCATCTTTGTATCTATTGTCAGCAATCACAGCATATGGCCTAACAGGAAGCTTTCAATCAACATTAATGAATAAAGGGATGAATAAAAGTCTGTGACTGTTGGCATGTTTGGCTAAGTCCATTCTTGGATAGCCTGTATAGAGGAAAACCTAGGCCTTAAGGCAATCACAAAAGTAAGTGATTTACATATAAATTCTTGGCCAAACAACTGAGCTGAGGGTGACAATACACTGATGAGAGAACACCCCACATGCATCCTAGCATGCTGACGGATACAAATGTTTGTTAAATTAATGGGCACCACAGCAAGCATAGCATCACTGATTATTCTAGCTTACAATTCTGAAGAAATTACCACCCAAACGAAATCTGAAAGACCTAGAGCTAGTAACTGTTATGCCAACAGAAAAGTGATTATTTTGAGAGTGATTACATGGATTCATATCTACACACCATAGACACTTGAATGATAATTAAATCTGTGTTTTAGGAGTTTAAGAGAATACATGCCTGGATAGGGGTTCACTAAGACCTGGCTGAATGACTGGGAAAAGCAGACGCACTGAATTGCCTATACCCTGATTATTCCTAATTACTCCACACTGTATCAACGAGAACTGATTTTCTGCTTTTCTGCTCTACCAAAAGAGTTTCTAGCTTCTAAGATTAGAGGTTCAACTTCTAAAATTAACAGCCTGGGATGCAAAGGTACCTGTGTGGTCCAAGATGGCATTCAAGCCACAGAAGACTGCCAGCTGGCCTCATTACCTTCAGGCCACATGCCAGAATGCTGGTCAACTATGGATATACTTGATCGGAACAGGGTTTTATTATAAGTCCATGCAGAACTGAAATTCCAGATTATGCCATGCATATGTATGCAGCTCACTTGACCTTGCTTTCAAATTCCATGGAGGCTCAAAAGAGGTCCCTAGGAGGAAAATAGGAATTCAAAATGGACAGCTATGAGGAGAGCCAAGAAGACTAAAGACAGAGAAAGGAAATCATGACTATAAATATTGAGCTTTACAACTCCACAAAGGCAAAGAAAGAAAACATGGAGCAGGCAATTAAGAAGCTTTAAAACGTCTTTCCTGAAAGCTTTTCCCAAGTAAACAATCTTCCAGAAAACCACTATTACTACAAACCTTCTAGCTAATAAGAACACAGCTGAGGCAAGATAAATAGAACTCAAAAGAAACCATCTGCCTAAGAGACTTCTGATAGCAATGTGTAAGAAATTATATAAATGGAACAGAAGAATCCAGAAATAAGTTCTAAATTTAAAGTCAGCTGATTTTGACAAGGATGCCAAAACAACTCAGTGGGGAGGAAGAAAGGTCTTTTTAACAAACGGTGCTGTGAAAAGAGGATATCCACATGCATAAGAATGAAACTGGACCCCTACCTCAGATCCCATACAAAAATTAAAGGGGATCTAAATTTAAGAGCTAGCACTATAAAACTCTTAGAAGAAACCAGAGGTATAAATCTTGATCTTGGATTAAGCAATGTTTTCTTAGATATGATACCAAAAGCATTATAGTCACACAAAAATACGTTAATTGAATTCTATCAAAATTAAAAACTTCTGTACTTCAAAGAATGCTATCATGAAAGACAAAGATAATCCACACAACGGGGGAAAATATATGAAAATCATATAATCTGATAAGGACCTAGTATCCAGAATACATAAAGAATTATTTCAACTTGATTTTAAAAAAGACAATCAACCCAATTTAAAAATGAGCAAAAGATCTGAACAGACATTACTCCGAAAAAGACATACGAATGGCCAATAAGCACATGAAGATATTTAACATCATTAACCATCAGGAAAATGCAAATCAAAGTCACAATGAGATACCGCTTTATACCCACTGGGATGTCTAGAATCAGAAGGACAAATAGGACTTGGAGAAACTGGAACCCTCATGCACTTCCTGAGGGATTTTTAAATGGTGTAGCTGCTTTAGAAAAGAGTTTAGCAGTTTCTTAAAAAGAGATTCCATATGACCCAGCAATTCCACTATTAGTATATACACAAGAAAACTGAAAATATGTCCATACAAACACTTCACAAATGGTCATCAACTAATGAATGGAGAAACAAAATGGGATATATCTACACAATGAAATATTATTCAGCCATCAAAGGGAATAAAGTACTCATATATGCTACAACATGAACTCAAATACACTAAGTGAAGATGCAAGTCAAAAAAGACCATACTGACTCCATTTATATGAAATGTCCAAAATAGGTAAAAATCTATAGAGAAAAAATCAGATTCGTGGTTACTGAGGACTGGAGAGGGAGAGGGTTAATGGGAGATCACCACTACTGACTATGGGGTTTCTTTTGGGGTGATAAAAATGTTCTAAAATGGACTATAGTGGTGGCTACACAACTCTGAACATACTGAAAATCAGTCTAGTGAGTAGGTGAATCATATGGCATAATAAAATGATAATAAAAAAATTTTAAAGTGAAGAAAAAGATGCTATTATAGAAGCAGTAACAGTTTTCCTTTATATAGAGCACATCTGCATTGAGGGATGAAATAAAGCGTAGTAAAACAGTCAGGACTGGCAGTTCACTTATTTATTCATTTGTTCACTCAACAAATACTTAGGTAAGTATGTATGATGACCAGGTGTTGTTCTAGGTACTAGAAATAAGCAAAGAACACTCAGACAAAAATCTCTGCATATAGGGAGTGTATGTACCTTTTGTGGGGTGATAAGAGAAAATAGACACGAGTATGAAATGGACATACTATTATTAGGTGATAAGTGCATTAGAAAAATAAAGAAAGGAAGGCAGTTACGAAAAGTTAAGGGGTTCCAATTTTAAGTAGCATGGTCAGGAAAGACCTTACTGAGAAGGTGGCACGAGGTGAGGGAGTGAGGCATGAGGTACGTGGGTAACGGAGAATAGGCAGAGGAATCACAAAGGCCCTGAGGAGGGAGCACGCTCAGCATGGTGGCTGCCAGAGTGAACACTGGGAAGAAAAGTAAGCAATGAAGTCAGACGAGGAAAGAGAAGCCAAATCCTATAGGGTCTTGGAGGTAAGGACGTTGAACAAAGAGAGAGGAGACTTTCATTCTCATGCTCACCACTGGGCTGAGAGTAGGTTGAAGGGGAGATGGGGAAGAAACAAACAGCAAAAAATCTCCTGCCATAATTGAGATAACTTGAATTGGAGTGGCAGGAGTGGAGGTGTTGAGATGTAGTCCAATGCTGATATTTGTTCAAATATATTCTGAGAAGTGGCCAAAGGATATAAAGTTTGAGAGAGTCAAAGACAACTCTAAGGTTTCTGGCCTGAGCAAAGTGAAAGCTGAACTTACTATATGTAAAGTGCTTAGGCAGTGATTTTAATAATGATAAAGTACTCATCGCGAACTCAACTGTCATGCTAGATCCACTTTCAAAGTGCGAGACAGTATATAATTTGCTCCGTTCTTAACTAGGAGCTTCTGCATGGGATTAAAAAAAATCCTATATTAAATACATACAAGAGTATTTATAATATACATATTATTAACAAAACACTAAACAGAAGTTATAGGTTCTGGGCCATAGAGAGTGGCAGCAGTGGTGTGCAGAATACCCTCAGCGGTTCTGCGGAAGCTGACTGGCATTCTATTCTCTTTTCCTTATGCAGCCCAAGGGAGACCTGGCATCTGCAGTGTAGATGCTAGTCTGAGCAGTACAGTCCAACCCAGAGTGAGTGTCATCATGATTCCTAGAAACAGAATTCCCCTAATATCTGCCACCTTCCTTAACCCTGGAAGGCTCTCTAGAAGACAAAGGCCTCAGGTTGGGTTTTGAAGGC